CAGGAGGAAGAGCTCAGGCTCCCTCTGGTGGAGAAAGGTTGACAAGCCTCTAGATCCCAACACCCCCTCCCGATCAGGAATTATAAGGTCAGGAGAAAATCAAACATGTTTGAAATTCAGTCGCTAAGCAGGCATGCACAAACAAAGATTCTTCTTCTTCCTCTTAGAAGAAAACACAGAAGCATGGCAGGGGTTTGAGTGAAATGAAGTTCTTTCTGTAAAATTGACAGACCGTAGTAGCCACGTTTACTCAGCCATGTCTCCAAATACATCGTTGCTGTTTCTTTTTAGGGCTTTCAGGGCAAAATTGCACAAATTACCAAGGCAGTGCGTTTCACTCTAGTGAGTGCGGAGCTGAGTCCGATGTGGTTTTTAGACGTACAGTGTGAGCAGGTAGCTCGCATCAGAGCGTCGGGTCGCACAGTGTGAGAACATACATCGCGAGCTGTGAACTTTTAAACCCTTTGGTTTGTTCGTACATTGTGAGCTGTAGCTGCGTGCAATGATTGAAAAAACTGTAGTGTATGCCCGGCTTTAGGAACCAGTTGTAACACAAAAAGCAGCTTGCCAAAGGTTCCTAGGTCCACACTGAATGTGAAATAGCTCACATTGGGGGAATCCACATGCTATCACGGCTGTGTGCGTAATTCAAATGGTTTGTTGCAAATTAGCAACAATAGGCATCAAGGGTTTAGAAATTTTGAAGTATTCGAATGGGGGCTGAATAACGACGCACTAAATACTTTTCTTTTCCTGTTGGGCAGAATAAAATGAAAAGAAGACATTATTTAACATTTATCCACCACTTGGTCTAGCTAATAAAATCCTTATCAAAGATTTACAATGATAAAGTGATCAAAATACTTATATACCATAGAGTGAAAATCATTAAAAAAACATAATAAATGCTTAGTTTTCATCATGGATCATTTTGACCAACGGATTCAGAAACACGCATTGATAGTGTTTTCATTTGTTTTCCTTTCGGACCGTCTGGCCTCACATCTTGACTGAAACATATCAAATGAAGCCATCGGATCCATCCATCCACCAACAGCTGACTCTTATCGGCACCATCTTGTCCTCGTCGTTTTACTGAGCGTGTGCAACATGTCCAGTGTTGTTTATCTGAAAGACAAGCGTTTTTTTTTCCAAGGGACCAGAGATGTTGGTCGGGAAGGCGGAGGGGAGCTGGGAGGCTCAAGAAATTGGAGAAGACATCCACCAGTCACCTTTTACTCGCTCACTTTGGCGGATTATCGACAACTGATGCATAATAAATACACTCCACTAAGGGTCCATTATCACTTAATCAATATTTCACTGTGGGAGAGGGGCCAGCTAGGCTTGCAGGGAGAGTGGGGGGTTTCTGCCACAGATGAGCTCTGAATAAGAGGAAAAAAACAAATCAGTAAAAGCATTTTCTCCTTCTGCTCTCATCTAAACACAAACCTCCCAGATTTGCTAATATTTCTGCTCAAAAGCAGCTAAAAGTGATCGAGCTGCTATTCCCGGCTTGGCTCTTCCCCCCGCGGACTCCAGGAGGAATCGAGCCGGTAATGGATAAGCCCCAATGGCTAACCCATCTGACATGAACTTTTGGGAGCAAGGAAAACAAATAATTGAACCCTTGGCCCTGTCACAGTGATTATGTATTGGTTTCCATGCACACGCTCCCCAGTGTGGCTTTCTGTCATCTTCTGAGGGAGGTTTATTTACAGCCTCTCAAAGTCTGAGGATCATTTGAGCTCCGCTGTGATGATATTTAAGTGGCCTGAGAGGATTGACCAAAAAAATCGCAGTTATAATACGAGCGAGACCCCGGCATGCAGGGACAAAGTGTTTGATTTATCTGATCAAATTATGTGTAAACGTAAATAAATATGAGTTTTAGGATGGAGCAGTAACGGTCCTTCCTTTTTCTTCAAAGGAAATGGATTTTCTTATTGTAGTTCAGCTGGCTTTCTAAGGATCCTATGGTTTTTACTTCTTTTGGACTTTTTTTTTTTAGGATTTTTACACGTCTTTCACCATTTTCAAAACTTCAAGAGATGGTTGAAAGACCTCAGATTTTATATATATATATATATATATATATATATATATATATATATATATATATATATATATATATATATATATATATATATATATATATATATATATATATAGTAGTAAGGAAATTGGTGGTTCCAGCAAAATAACATGCAACTATTTTAGTTTTCTTACTTACAATTTTGATAGTTTCGTTTCTGTTTGATGCAGGAGCATAAGATATCAATAATGAATTAATCTAAAATTGAATGTTTTTATCAATCGATTAACGATTAATTGATAAGTGGGTATCTTCTCAAAATCCTGTTTTCTTTTCCAGAGGATGTTTCCTCTGGCAAATACTAAATAACTATATTTTTAGTAATCATTACACCAGTTTTATTCAATAATTGCTTTAAAGAAAACCTTTTCTTCCACATTATTAAACTTAGACATATTTCTAAGATGAATTAAAACATTAAAAGACAGGGTATGTAGCTCTTACATACAGTCAGGCTGTAAGCTGCTTCATTTTAATGTTGTGGATGCTAACTGTGATATGACTCTCCGTTTTTAGTGTAATCCAGAATTTAGTGATGTTAATAGAGCCTTTAAACTGGTGGTTTGGTTGCTCTCTGTTATAATTTTTGAAAGCTATTATTGGTATTCTGAAGCTCTCAATACATAACTTGAAACATGTTGGTTTTGCTAATTGGTTTGTTCAGTGACCACTCCTAAACTGCTATTTACAATGCAGGTAGAAAAGGTTTTAGCGTGCGAGGGTGACGGGAAATAACTCAATGAGCTCAAGAAGTAATCCAATGTTAACTAGCTTAATGATGCATGCAGTATATATAACCCTTCCTTGTCATGCACATTAGAGACCGACACAGGAGTGGATTTTCACTCCTGTCCCGTCCCACTCCCACAGAAAAAAATTGTGTAGAAATCTAAATCCTGTCCCGTCCCAATCCTGGTGAAATTACTCCCACTCCCATCCCGCTCCCATTCAGAATGACTCCCACTCCTGCTCCACTCCCATTCTTGTTGTCTTCAATAAGATTTCTGCCAATAAAGCTATTGAATCTGAATTTGTTGTTTTTTAGCGCGGGTGAAAAACGGAAGCGGAAGCACTGTTGGTTTTTGGGTTGTGTAGTTTTTTTGACTCGCATTATAATGTACTACAAAACAGCGGCGCCAGTACTGGATTTTTTTTCTTTCTATTTTATTTTATTTTTTGGCATCGATCCTAGTTTTTTTTGGTTACTATTGGTTTGCTCCCGCTCCCGTCTGCTCCCGTTAATGTTTAATCCTGTACCGTCCCAATCACGTGATCGTTACTAATACTGACTCCCATCCCACGGGAATCCCACGTGGGATTCCC